AAAAAAAAAAAAAAGAAAAGAAAATCATCCCCATTGTAGAGGTGAGGAGGTAGAACCTTGGAGAATCTGGGTGTTTTGCCCAGGGTCTGGTAGAAGGGAAATCTCCGAGCCAAGATTGCAACCCGATCTTCCTTTTAGAAAGGCATAATTGGCCAGGCTCGGTGGCTCCACCTGTAATCCTAGCATTTTGGGAGGCTGAGGTGAGTGGATTGCTTGAGCCCATGGGTTCGAGATCAGCCCCGGCAACTTGGCAAGACCTCGTTTCTACCATAAAGTCAAAAATTAGCCGGGTGCAGTGGCACGTGCCTGTAGTTCCTGGCTACTTGGAAGCCTGAGGTGGAAGGATAGCCAGAGCCCAACAGGTCGATGCTGGGGTGGCCACGAATGTGCCACTGCACTCCAGCCTGGGCAAAGGAGCGAGACGCCAACTAAAAAAAAAAAAAGAAAAGAAAGACATAATTGCAGAGTGCTCATGAGCACTGACTATGAATCCCTGGTTCGACTCTTTGCTCTGCTGCTTACTTGCTACATGGTCTTGGGCAAATATTCTACCTTGTGTAGCCTCAATTTACTCACCTGTAGAATGGGGATGCTAACAACAGGATCTCCTTCACAGGGCTGTGATAAGGATTAAATGAGAGGCACCAGTAACACGGGCAGGGCGGTGTCTGGCATGGAGTGAGTGCTGGGACCACGTTCCTTCTCTCTCCGCCTTTGCTGTAACTGCAACGGCAATGTTGTCTTCTTGCTTCCTCTGCTTCCCCGTCCCCTGCCATCTCGTCCTGTCCGCCCCCACTCCCCGGCCTCTCTGCAGATCCTCTGGACCTTCTCCATCTACCTGGAGTCGGTGGCCATCTTGCCGCAGCTCTTCATGGTCAGCAAGACCGGGGAGGCGGAGACCATCACCAGCCACTACCTGTTTGCACTGGGTGTCTACCGTACACTCTATCTCTTCAACTGGATCTGGCGCTATCACTTTGAGGGCTTCTTCGACCTCATTGCCATCGTGGCAGGCCTGGTGCAGACAGTCCTCTACTGCGACTTCTTCTACCTCTATATCACCAAAGGTAGCCAGAATGCAGGGCTGGCTGGAGGGAGCCGCTCACGGCACAGCTCCCTCCCTGCCCAGGGCCTGGGTCCCTGTCCTCACCCGTGTTTTGCTCAAGGGAGGGAGGTCTTCCTCTCCTAGCTTCTGGGTCCCAGGCCCACTGCCCTCCTGGGAATGCCTCCCTAAGGACCAAGGAGTTTCTGTCTTCGAGTGGAGACCCCTTGGGACAGGCACTCAGGCCCACTGAGATTCAGTCATCCATGCACTTATTCATTCCACAAATGTGCAGAGCACTTCCTGTGTCTCCAGCCAGGTGCTAGCTCTGGGGATATGGCAGTAGGGGACAGGATGGGCGAGGCCCTCCCCTCCCCTCATATTCTCACGGGGGAGATGGCGAGTGAAGAAGTAAAGAAAGAATTGCCAGTAGTGACGAGGCATATGAAAGAGGGAAACCAAGGAAGTATCCATGAGTAACTGGAGGGTGTGGAGGTGATTTACATGGGGATCAGGGAGGCCTCTCTGAGTAGGTGATGTTTAAACAGAGACCTAAAAACCCAGGAGTCAGTCATGTGCAGGAAAGAGGGGCAATAACGGCAAAGGCTTGGGTTGGGCACAGTGGCTCACACCTGTAATCCCAATACTTTGGGAGGTCGAGGTGGGAGGATTACTTGAGTCCAGGAGTTCTAGACCAGTCTGGGCAACATAGCAAGATCTTATCTCTACAAAAAAAATAAAAAAATTAGCCAGGCATGGTGTCACACGCCTGTAGTCTCAGCTGGAGGCTGAGGCAGAAGGATCGCCTGAGCCCAGTAGGTGGAGGCTGTGGTGATCCATGATCATGCCACTGCACTCCAGCCTGGGTGGCAGAGTGAGACTCCGACTTTAAAAAAAAAAAGAAAGCGTGGAGACAGGTTCCCATCTCCCCTAGAATTAAGGCTTGGAAGGTGGAGAGGGAGTGGTCTCACCAGGCCAGTCCTGCCAGATCTTTGACTCTACCTTTCTCAGAGATCTAAGCCTTCAGCCAGAGAGTTCTTGGAGGGTGCAAGCTGCACCTCTCAGACCCCCTATGTGATTCAGGTGGTTCCCCTAGGTCTTGAGCCAGAGTCCAGGGGGTCGTCCCTCCCCATGTGTCCTCCCAGCCTAGCCAGCCTAGTGTGCAGACCCCTGCTCTGGGCGTGGGAGGTGGCCTGTTTTCTGCAGGGGCCCCATGGTAATGCACATCCCTTTCTCTCCTTGCAGTCCTAAAGGGGAAGAAGTTGAGCTTGCCGGCATAGCCCCGGTCCTTGCCGTCCCTCTCCTCGGCAGCGGCGGGAGGCAGAGGAAGGTGACGACAGACAAGAGCTTTCCCATCCAGCGGTGACTTTTTTAAAGAACCAACCTCTCCCTGCTCCCCATCCCGCCTCCTGCCGGGTTTCAGGGGGGGCATGGAGGACCCAAATCTTGGGGAGCTCAGGACCTGGGCTGTTTGTAGTTTTATGCCTTTTAGAGAAGAAAAAAAATCTTTCCATTATTTAGTTTTTGATTCTGATGACTCCCTTCTCTCTGGCCCCAATTTTTATAAACTGTTTTTGAGTGTCTTATGGGCCGGGGTAGGGTTGGAGATCTTTTCCTTCCCCAAGCCCCTTGGCTCCCTCCCAGAGCCCACCCCCAGCCTCACCAGTTGCCAAACACTAACTACGCTGATACCCCGCTGCTCCACCTCCTACCATGGCCGTGAACACCCCCTGCCCCAAATTTCTAGGTTGGGGTAGGGAGGAAGGGAGGCCCAGGAAGGTCTCTCCTGATTTTTTCATAATATTTTTTTCCCCAGAGTTTGGATTTTTTGGTCTTGTCCTGGTTTTTTGGCACATTAGGGGGGTTTGGGACTCGGGTGCGGGGTGGGAGCTGGCCCGAGGGTCACCACGGCTCTGATGCCATGTTTTTGTACAGAACTGATGGTTGATTCTTTGTTCTCTTGAAATAAACATAGGAAAATTATACCTCTCTTTTGTGGCTCCTTGTCCTCTCTCTCGGGTGTGTTTGGGACCCCGGCCTCCACTCTTATTGTCTGCTTTTGCCTCGTTAACCATCTGTAGGCTACCAGGCCTGGGGGGAGCAGGAAGATGAGAAACTGGGTTTCCTAACAGCGGTACTGATTCCTCATGGCTCTGCTGGGGAAGAGGTTTTAGAGAAAATCTCAACTGATTCCTCATGGCTCTGCTGGGGAAGAGGTTTTAGAGAAAATCTCGAAGATTCGTCTTGTCTTGGCACAGAACTTGCCTGATGGTTCTCCTGACCCTCAGGGTTGCAGGAGACCTTCAAGAGGTCTGTATGTCACAGGCCTCAAACTGGTTGAGCCGTTCTGTGTTTTTTTAGAAAGAAAAAAATGGAGTTGGGGGAGTCACCAACCCCTTTCAAAACCGGATTTTCACATTGTAGTCTAGATTTCTAGATTTCTGGCTTCTCAAAAAAAAAAAAAAAAATTCTGTCAGCTAACAATGCGGGTCCTCATTTCTGGGTGGCAACAGATGGCTGCATCTGAATGGATGGGATGCGCGCTTTTCACCACAGTCCCCAGGACTTGGCTGCAGGGTTGTTATCATTTATTATTGGGCTGACGCTGTGTGGTTATTTTTGTTTGTTTGTGGAGTTCAAAAGAAAGTGAAATATTTTCCATGTCTCTCTCCAGATTGGCTTCACACCTGGCCTATTTTCTTCACTTATGTTACCTGCCTGGCTCTTGTGAGCTTTTGGGTTTTGGACCCTTGACTAGATTGTCCTCTAAGACCTTCCTAACCTTCGCTTACCTGCCTCTGGTTTTCCCCTGGAAGCTTGGGGAGGCAGAGCTGGCATTTCCTGAGCACTTAATATGTGCCAGGCCCTCGCATCATATGGATGAGCTCCTTTGACCTTCATGGCACCCCTACAGAGGGGGCACTTTTCAGATGAGGAAACTGAGGCATAGAGGAGTGAGTGGCAAAGGTGGGGTTTGCAACTGGGCTTCCTATGCCACAGCCTGAATGTTTAACTACCATGGTGTGGTTTTTCAGCCATTTTTTGTTTCTTTCCTTGTTGTAAGCCAAGGGACCTTCTGTTTAGAAGAGTTTTGCCCAGAAGCCTAATTTGGAAAACACAGGCACAGGACTGCTGGGGTTGACGGTATTCCTGTCTGTTCAGCCTGAGGCCTCTCTTTGAACACAGTCTGAAAACCCTCCATCTAAATCTGGTCCAGTTCTTCATTTTTATGGCCAACACAGCTCGGGCTAGAGAAATTGACATGCCCAAGGTTATCCAGCTAGAATTAGAAAGAGTACCCCCACTCAGAATCCTCCCATTCCCTATGTCAGAAAGCTTCCCATCCCACTGCTCTGCTGCTGCTTTCTTTAGATGCCCATGGAGACCATGTCTTTATTTCTACGCTTCCAGAATCCAGCAAAGGGCCTGCCATGTAGGAAGCATCAAAAAAGGGACCAACGGGACTGGGTTCTGTGGTTTATGTCTGTAATCCCAGCACTTTGGGATTATAGGAGTACTTGAGCCCAGGAGTTTGAGATCAGCCTGGGTAACATAATGAGACCTTGTCTCTACAAAAAAAAAAAAGAAGCGCAGAATATTAGCCAGGTGTAGTGGCACATGCTTGTCCCAGCTACTAGGGATGCTGAGGTGGGAGGATCGCCTGAACTCATGAGGTCAAGGTCACTGTAAACTATTATCATGCCACTATACGCCAGCCTGGACAATAGAGTGAGACTCCTACTAAAAAAAAAAAAAAGGACCAAGGGAACCCACATTGAATTTCCCACAACCCATACCCTTTTGTTCAGTTTGTGAACTAGTGCTCTGCAGGCCACTGTGGCCCCCTTGTAGGTGTGTTTTTTTTGGCCTGCATGATGTTTACATTTTTAAAATTTCTTGTCCACTAATTTCATATTAACAAACCCCACAAAACATGTCCAAATTGTTTTTGAAAAACTGGAGATTCTAGGCTGGTCTTGGTGGCTCAGCCTGTCATCCCAGCACTTTGGGAGCCCGAGGTGAGTGGATTGCTTGAGCCCTCAGGTTTGAGACCAGCCCGGGCAACTTGGCAAGACCTCATCTCTACAATAAATTTTTTTTTTTTTTCTTTTGAGTTGGAGTCTCACTCAGTCACCCAGACTGGAGTGCAG